GGTCAGCTGGGTCAGCTGAGTCAGCTGAGTCAGCTGAGTCAGCTGAGTCAGCTGAGTCAGCTGAGTCAGCTGAGTCAGCTGAGTCAGCTGAGTCAGTGAGTCAGTTGAGTCAGTTAGGTCAGTTGAGTCAGCTGAGTCAGCTGAGTCAGCTGAGTCAGCTGAGTCAGCTGAGTCAGTTGAGTCAGTTGAGTCAGTTGAGTCAGTTGAGTCAGTTGAGTCAGTTGAGTCAGTTGAGTCAGTTGAGTCAGTTGAGTCAGTTGAGTCAGTTGAGTCAGTTGAGTCAGTTGAGTCAGTTGAGTCAGTTGAGTCAGTTGGGTCAGTTGGGTCAGTTGGGTCAGTTGAGTCAGTTAAGTCAGTTGAGTCAGTTAAGTCAGTTAAGTCAGTTGAGTCAGCTGAGTCAGCTGAGTCAGCTGAGTCAGTTGAGTCAGCTGAGTCAGTTGAGTCAGTTGAGTCAGTTGAGTCAGTTGAGTCAGTTGAGTCAGTTGAGTCAGTTGAGTCAGTTCAGTCAGTTGAGTCAGTTGGGTCAGTTGGGTCAGTTGAGTCAGTTGAGTCAGTTGAGTCAGTTGAGTCAGTTGAGTCAGTTGAGTCAATTGAGTCAGTTGAGTCAGTTGAGTCAGTTGAGTCAGTTGAGTCAGTTGAGTCAGTTGAGTCAGTTGAGTCAGTTGAGTCAGTTGAGTCAGTTGAGTCAGTTGAGTCAGTTGAGTCAGTTGAGTCAGTTGAGTCAGTTAAGTCAGTTGAGTCAGTTGAGTCAGTTAAGTCAGTTGAGTCAGTTAAGTCAGTTGAGTCAGTTGAGTCAGTTGAGTCAGTTAAGTCAGTTGAGTCAGTTGAGTCAGTTAAGTCAGTTGAGTCAGTTAAGTCAGTTGAGTCAGTTAAGTCAGTTGAGTCAGTTAAGTCAGTTGAGTCAGTTGAGTCAGTTGAGTCAGTTGAGTCAGTTGAGTCAGTTAAGTCAGTTGAGTCAGTTAAGTCAGTTGAGTCAGTTGAGTCAGTTAAGTCAGTTGAGTCAGTTAAGTCAGTTGAGTCAGTTGAGTCAGTTGAGTCAGTTAAGTCAGTTGAGTCAGTTGAGTCAGTTAAGTCAGTTGAGTCAGTTAAGTCAGTTGAGTCAGTTAAGTCAGTTGAGTCAGTTAAGTCAGTTGAGTCAGTTAAGTCAGTTGAGTCAGTTAAGTCAGTTGAGTCAGTTAAGTCAGTTGAGTCAGTTAAGTCAGTTGTCAGTTGAGTCAGTTAAGTCAGTTGAGTCAGTTAAGTCAGTTGAGTCAGTTGAGTCAGTTAAGCCAGTTGAGTCAGTTAAGTCAGTTGAGTCAGTTAAGTCAGTTGAGTCAGTTAAGTCAGTTGAGTCAGTTAAGTCAGTTGAGTCAGTTGAGTCAGTTGAGTCAGTTGAGTCAGTTGAGTCAGTTGAGTCAGTTGAGTCAGTTGAGTCAGTTGAGTCAGTTGAGTCAGTTGAGTCAGTTGAGTCAGTTGAGTCAGTTGAGTCAGTTGAGTCAGTTGAGACAGTTGAGTCAGTTGAGTCAGTTGAGTCAGTTGAGTCAGTTGAGTCAGTTGAGTCAGTTGAGTCAGTTGAGTCAGTTGAGTCAGTTGAGTCAGTTGAGTCAGTTGAGTCAGTTGAGTCAGTTGAGTCAGTTGAGTCAGTTGAGTCAGTTGGGTCAGTTGAGTCAGTTGAGTCAGTTGAGTCAGTTGAGTCAGTTGAGTTGAGTCAGTTGAGTCAGTTGAGTCAGTTGAGTCAGTTGAGTCAGTTGAGTCAGTTGAGTCAGTTAGTCAGTTAAGTCAGTTGAGTCAGTTGAGTCAGTTAAGTCAGTTAAGTCAGTTGAGTCAGTTGAGTCAGTTAAGTCAGTTAAGTCAGTTGAGTCAGTTGAGTCAGTTGAGTCAGTTAAGTCAGTTGAGTCAGTTGAGTCAGTTGAGTCAGTTGAGTCAGTTGAGTCAGTTGAGTCAGTTGAGTCAGTTAAGTCAGTTGAGTCAGTTAAAGGATCCAGTTGGGTCCAGGCTGAGGTTTGGTCAGTTTGCTCTCGAATCTATGCCCAGGTCCCTGTTGGCATCCTCGCTGAATTGACCGCGAAGAAATTTCAGGCAGCTTTGGCTTTTCCACCTTTGAATGATTTCAATATATTTCAATGTAAAGCACATGTTTTCATGTTTTGCACTAATCTTGCAAAGTCTGCAAAGTGCGCAGAAAGTGCAGAGGTGAATCCAAAAGATCCACTGTCAGTGATTGACATTGAGCTCTTTCTGGTCGAGTCCCAAGAGAGGCCTTGACGATTGTGGCACAATTTGAACGGTGGCCCACCTTTATGCATTCAATCTTCCTTCGTCTCATCTACACAAGTCTCATGGACGTGCAGTCTGTTGGAGGAATAGAAGGAAACGTGAAACGAAAATCATGTCATCTCGGTATTTCGGTTTGGTCCAATGGCTTGGTTGGTTCACAGATTGCCTGACACGTCGCCTACAGTTCATCATCGCAGCACGGTGGGTGCTGGTGTCGTTGCCCAAGGTTATTGCAAAACATCCTCGATGTACTGAGCGACATGCTGAGATGCCCCAAGCTTACAGCATTAGTTGTGGCGACTGCTAAAATGCATTCAACCGAGCCCCATTCACAGTGAATCCTTGGTTTCAAGAAGTATTCTGGTACTTTGCTACAGGCTGGCCCAAGTGTTAGTGCGCGCAGCTGGCATTGTCTTTTCTTCCAAATGGAGTTTGAGATCCGCTGGGAGTTCTGTCTTGAGGGAAACAAACCTTGTCAATCTCCTCGTCAGCTCAGTGTGCCAGGGTGCGCTGTTGAGAATGCAGTGGGCCGTGCTGCAAGTCCACATCACAGCTTTTGCAGCATGAAGAAAATTGAAGAATTTCCTTTCAAAGCTTTCAGAGCTTGCAAATTTTGCAAAAAATCATGTATTTCGCTCAATGTCGCAGAATCTTTATGAATCTTTCCTGTCTTTCACCTCGGCCAAGGCTTGCCTCTGCTGGTTATCTTCAGGCGCTTTGCACACGAGGAGTCCAAGACCCTGAAGACACCTGAAGACGCCTGAAGACGCATGAAGATACAATGGGAATACTCCTGAAGTATGAAGTCATGGCTTTTCAGTCGAATAGCAAAATTTGCAAAACGTGAAGCAGCAAGCTTTGGAAGGACTGCATCCAAGCCTTGTTCGAACGTTTCGTCCAGGCTTGTTCTGCGAAAGAGTCAATGCTTGTCTTGTTTCTGTTGAAGCTGCGCCAAAACTCAGGTGGCTTTGACCAGGCCCAGATATTGTGTTGCAAGATGTTGCAAGTTTATCACAAGACTCTGTTGCAGTGTTTCGTGGCCGTCTGAGCTCTTGGAGACTCCAGACATTTTCACTCAAAGACAACATCCAGATCTGGCGAGAGGCTCATACAGCGGGGAACACCCAAGTCTCAGATCAATCAGGCCATTCTGCGCAGATGCAGAGACAGGTCACGCACGGTTACGCAAAGTGGCAGATTCTATAGGAAGACAGGACACCAACGGACATTGTGGAAGAAACATGAAGAAACAGGTTTTTGATGTTTTTGTCAGTTTTCTAAAAGTCCAATCTCAAGAGACCGTGACCAAAGAAAGGTGCATGAGCTACTGGCGAAGATTGCTTGCATGCGCCGCTTTCCAAGACAGTTGGCTAATTTCGTCAACAGACTTGTGGCCTGAAAGTCCCTGTCATTTGATGTGATTGCAGTGATTGCTTTAAAAGATCTGCTTTGACTATTTGAATGATTTCTTTGTGTCATCTTGAAGGCAATCCGTCTTTAGACAAGCGCATGCGCCAGTTGTTGCAAGAGGTTGGAGTCTGGCAAAGTTCGCAAACACTGCAGCATCGTTTCTAGGGTACTCTGCCACTGGAGTAGGGTACACTGCACTGCGGTCAACCGATGCGTTTAGGTCTCTGACCTGAAAAGGTGCTGCAAACTTGACGCTTGCTGATGCAGGTTTGTCGAGCCTACCTGTCCAATTATATGGAACTGCATCCAAACCTCCAGGTTTTGAGCTGAGGACTGGTTAAGTGACTTGACCCTTTCACTGACTCGAATCTGCATCGAAGAATCCACATGTGAATCATCTAGAGGATGCAAAGCAGCGTCCTGATGTTCAAGGAAGACAGCACGGTGCATGCATCGCTAATACTGTGCTCATCATAGACCATCTCCTTGATTATTTTGATTCTCATTGATCATTGCAATATATTTCAATATATTTCAATATATTTCAATATATTTCAATATATTTCAATATATTTCAATATATTTCAATATATTTCAATATATTTCAATATATTTCAATATATTTCAATTGTTTAGAAGTCTTTGGATTTGAAAGTCAACAGAATTCATGCTGACTATGCCTTTACCGCATATGCCTTTGCCATCCTTTGCCGAGGTGGTACTGGAGCTTTGGCCTGAAGATGAGCGAGAATTGAATGCATGGGTATTATGCTTGGAAGAGCACAGAAATTTCTTGCGTATTCATGGGCTCTCACTGGAAAAACGGCTCAGAAAAACATGACTTGAGCCTTGAGCTTGATTATTTGTGATGAGATTGAGGTGCGTGCATTGAACCAGGACAGACTTTTTGACTCTTTTTGCTTTCCCGCTGAAGTGCCTTCTGATTCTTCATGGCGAGGACGTTCAAAAAAACAAGCCAGTAGACAAGCAGGCCATGCTTCCGCCACTGCAACACAAATTCCTAAAGAATGCTTGTGCTTTCATGCTTTCAACCTCCATCAGGACACGGAGATGCAGGATGCAGGTGGGATTTAACAAGCCTTTTCTCAACTTTTACCCACAGCGATCGCATGGTTGTTGGAAAGTCAGAGCATTTGGAGCCAGCTAGCATGGGCGACAGCTATTTGAAAACTCTTTGCAAAGATTGCAGGCAATGTTTTTACTGGCACCATGGACATCCGCTCACTTACTCCTTCAGTGCAATCAGCTTAATTGCAGAGTGTGAAAGAGCTCATGTGCACATTGGAAAAAAATCTGCTGAACCCTGTGTTTCGTGAATCCATCCAGTGTGTCGCAGGCCTGGCTTTGTTCTCTCTTCTACACACAGTCAAGACGGTATTTCTCTCTCTCTCTCTCTCAAACTGCCCAATCTCTGAACATATTTGCCCTCGAATTTCTTCCTTTTCTATTTCTGATTTCATTTTTTGATCTGTGTCCACCGATTGGTTTTGTTCTGCAATGACCCGAGCTTTTGCCCTCCACCTTTTGTTCCAGGCATGACTATCCTGCCCGGTAAGTCACCTAGCTGGCTGTGAAATAACACACAAGTCAAAGGAGCAAGAAGAGCAAGAAGAGCAAGAAGAGCTAGAACGAACAGATGATGACATTAGCTTGATGTTGTTTGATGATTATCATCGTATGATTTGACATTAGTTTGCACGGCTGTTGGAATCACTCAGGACCTGAAAGTCTCATGCCACATCACACCATACACTACGCCGTAGTGCCACAACTATCAGTGCCACATAGTGCTGTTGTTTTTTTTTCTCATTTTGTCTCCCTGCCTGGCCGGCTATGCTCAACTCTCCCAAGGGGACCTGACTCACCATCTTCCATGCCTCGGTCAGGTTCTGAGAGCCTTTTGATCCTTTTGCATTTCCAAAGTTCGGACCAAACAACAAACATCAATAAACATCAATAAACATCATACAAGCATCATAAACATCATACTTTGAAGATCTTTGAAGAATACTTGGTTTTGATACTTAGTTTTGATACTTTGTTTTCGCCTTAACAAGATTCAGCGTTCCACGCAGCTGAAACAGCAAGGTCAGTTGGCGAAGGCGTGTGAAATCCAAGAGAAGCCAGTTGCGAAGAGAATTCAACTGCTTTTTAAGATTTTTTAAGTGCTTCATGATATCCAACTCGTCAATGTTTTGCAAAGGCAATAAGGTCGCAGTTTGTAACGGTGTGAGTGTCTACCAAGTAGCATCCATTGTGTATTCTGTGTCCCTCATATGACAGCGAACGGCGAATCACCTGTATTCTGAAGGGGCATTCGAAAAGCCACAGTCCTCCCTTTGAGATCCTTTCTGAATCTTGCGTCAATACACGGGTATACAAGAGTCATTGTTGGGTTTGATACTGTGGGGCCTATGCCTAAACTGTCCATGATCAAACCCCGATTCAGAAGCAAAGAATCTCGATTTGGGATTCAGGGTCCAAGATGGTCCAAGGATTCAGGATTCAGAAAGCATTTTTTTCCGATCAAGAACTACCAGCAATGCTCAGCAATGCAAAAAGTACAGCATAGTGTATGGTTTTGGAACTTTCTGGTTGGCGAGGGACTGGATATGTACGCAGGGAATGCCTAGAGGAACATTTGCCAAATGTGAGACCTGTTCGTCAGCATTAATACATATTAATACAGTCATATAGAGCAAGTCTGATTCTTCTTCCAGAGGTCTGCGTTCAGGTTGATGAATCGATTGTGTCCACGCCATGAGTTAACATCTGACCTTCAAGATTTCTTGAAGATCAAAGATATCAAAGTAGCTTCGGGCCGAGCTTGGGAAGTCTGTGCAGCTGGAGGTGCTACGGTTCAGGTGGCTCAACTTGCCAAAGAGACAGGGCCTGAGGATGCCTGCTGTTCGGTCTCGGGAGAGAGGTGCTTCGTTGGACACTGTTGGACACAATTAATTAAACATATTAAAGCCATAACAACAACGAGTAACAGACCAATTTTTTAAGTTTTTTTTTTTTTTAAACGTTTTTTTTACTCTTTTTTTTTGTAGTATGTATGACTCTGTATGACTGTACCCGATGTACACACAATACATCCACTGGGCGAGATTTGTCAGTTTCTCCTGTGCTGTGCTGTCTTTTCTGAGGACAGAGAGTCTACGGGATGAGCTGGCTTCTGCGAAGGCATTTCGTTCAACATGCAGAAAAGCATGCACCAACATTACCATGTCATACCATAACAACATTGTAAGTCAATGGATCACCAGATTCTCCGCTCCCATTATGTCAAAAGGAGAAACAAGCACAAGCACTGGCTGAAGCGGAGGCAATTTTGTCAGTGTTGTCTCTCCTTGCGAAATTCAGCTTGTTTTCTTTCTATGTCTGGCAAACTGATGGCTGACCATTCATTGAGCGTATTGCAGTATGCATTTGTCTTTTTTTCTCGTGAAATCTGATCGCTCATACGTGCATGTCCGCCCCCGTGCAAATCTCGTTCATTGTGCAAGCGGCTGTGTCACCCTGCGATTCAGCTTTGCATTGTAGGCATTGCGAAGAGAGTTGCGTCAGCAGCTTATTTGGTCCCTTTCTCTGTCCGCAATGGACAGAGCTGTGACAGAGCTGTGACAGAGCTGCTTGCTTTTTTTGGAGCGCAACGCCGCAACGCCATGCCACGGTGATGAAACCACGGAGGTGATGCAAAAGACTTGCAGAAGAAGGTGTGGATGAATATGATAAGATATGATAAGATATGATAAGATATGATAAGATATGATAAGTAGGGTTATGTGAAGTTTAACCGAATGTTGATCTGACAGCGATATGACAAGATTGCTTCTTACAAGGGACGGAACAGTTGAGACTCTGTAATCTCCGAACACGCATAGGTTGAAGCTGAAGTAGATCAACTTCAAGAGCGGCGCGAGGCACCAACCGATATTGTAGACCGAACAAATCGCTTGATGGGATGTTGTCTTCTAACCTCTTTGGTTAATCGGCAAGCGAAAGAGATAGCCGTTCATGAGACGCATCCGTCCAGTAGGTATGGAATAGGAAGCAACAGTGAGCTTCAACTCTGGAAAAGAAGCTAATATCAAGACTGACAGGTAGTTCCTTGCTCAGTTCAAGAAATAGTCTTTGGAATCTTTTGGCTTTCAGGAGATCTTGGCGAAAAGGTGCTGTTCTGAGTTCCATCGTCCAGTGCAAGCACAAGAACATCGTAAACCCAGTGCAAGCAATGCGCCGACATGGCTTAGGCAAGCTGGTAAAGGCAGAGCGGATGGACTCTGCATATTTTGCGCAGTCCAAATATATTCAAAGTTTCTTCCTGGTTAGGATGGGATTGACAGTGATGAGACATAACGCAAAAACAAAAGCTGGTCTACGGCCGACGCAGGTGAGGGTAAAGGTCGCCCAAGCCTCAGACTCGTCACATTAACAAAGATCCACACAAATAAAAACATTGGAGCTACATGGAGCTACAACAAGTTTAGCATTTTACGTCATTCTAATTCATTTTACTTCTACCACATCCCGCGTGATAGGCAAGACCGACAAGAAGCCTACCCTAGAGTCTAAGAACTCAGACATTCCTGCAGAGGATGCAGCCAAGGCGTGGGGATTACTTTGGGCATCACCGCATTACTTTGACATTTTTGACTTTTTTCTTGTAGAAATCGGTAAAATCGGTAAAATCTGCTACAAAAACGTGCAGGTGGAAGAACTGCAGAAGGCTGGTGAATTTGTATCGCTGGACTCGCTAGCTACTGCTGCGACGGCTAGACGCTTTTCATCTCTCCAGCGAGAGTCGTCCCAGGCATTTGAGGAGCCATTGAAAGTCCTTTTCAGCCTCAGACTTAGCATCACTTAATCCCTTCCCCCTGATACTAAACGTCCCCTGCCCAAATCATAAAACCAAGGGGTAGGTTTTATTGTTATGGAGTATTTAATATTCGGGGGGAGAAGCCTTAATTTGAAAGCAAATATTCAATTTCAAAATCGATTAAATTCCTTTTTAAAATCTAATTCAAATATTGTCAAAAATTGGATTTCGATGCTTCCCCCTAATATTAAAATAAACACCTTAAGTAAACATACTAACATTTTCGATTTTAACACAGACCCTAATAGAAAACACCCTAGGGTTAACTAGCTTTTATTATTACTGTAGGGGGTAGAACCTTCAGTTCGGACCTTAATTTTTAATTTGTTTTCTAAAGAGGATCAATTAAACATCAAATTTTCCAATCTGAAATATCCCAAAACGAACAAACTGGGGTAGCTGTATTATTAAAGGGAGGTTTAGTAGGAAGAAGGGATTGGTCACCTTTCAGCTGAGGCTTCAAGGCATGATTGGCATCAGTAAATTTAGGAATCATTGTAGTTTTACTGTAATTTTTGTTTACTTCTCATCTTTATTTTGCCTGAATAGGGTAGTTTCGACATGTTTCAACACGCTCTGACAGTGAAATCTTTGGCTGGAACTTCATACCATTTCTTCACTTTGCATTGTGACAGAGGTCAGTATGCAAAACCCCGGCGTGGTGCCAGTGGAAAGCGGTTGGAGATGAGGTTAGAGGCAAAACTGGCAAAACGTGAGACAAAGAATGCTCAGGATGCGAGCACAGTAAGAGGAAAATGCAAACCATTGCAGGTGCTGGAATCTCTGCTGGACGACTTGGACATTTTGCCAACTCGTCTTCAAAAGCGAGCGGTGAGCTGCATTTATTTTTTCGAAAATTAAGTCAAGTCCCTTTATTTTTTCGGAAGTTGCTCAGAAGCTGCCCCAAAACACCGTCACATTCTGTTCGCCTTCGCCTAGCCGCCTAGCCGCTCAGCGTTCCCCAATTAGTGCTCTCAGGTACAGCCACTCTTCAAATCGGTCCTGCCAAAACCTGGCGACGAGGCACCGATTTCAATTTTTTAGCCGAGATTCACCAGGTCCTCACTATCCTCACTGCGTCCCTCTGAGCAACATGTTTAAAGCATACCGAAACCAGAGCTGCACACTTTCGAAATGAGACAGGCATTGTTGGTGGACAACTTTATGCAGCTCGTGCCTCGTTTCGGTCTCAGAGATGAAAGTTGAAATCCCAAGATCAACAGATGGTTTGGGCATCCATGGATTACAGCTCTTTGCCATCAATAATTTTCGTTTTGTGCATGCTTTGGACCTTGGTTTCTTGCCTTCCATGTCCAGGACTGGCCAAACTATTTTCAGCTTCAGAGGCTTCACCTATGACGGACTTTGGCGTCACGGCGTGACCCTCTTTTGCTGGCTTTATTCGTTTATTTGACAGCATGGCTTTCGGTTTTCTATGCGAGGACTTATCTGCCCAAGAATGCCTCCAAGCATGGATACATTCTGCTTTTTTTTTGTCTCCGTGTGCTTGTTGTGCCTCAACAGGGCTTGTTGGCTCACAGAAGTACGGATCTTGTTGAAATATCAGAATATCGTAATCTTGTCCTGCTGGAAGTGTTTGATTTTCCTAGCTCCCCCATCCGTGGATTCGTAGAGTTTTCAATCAAGCGATAATGCATTCATTGTCCGTTGTATCCTTGCGATACGCAGCGTTCCTGTCCTTTCGTCGCGATGAGATCTTCATCACGATCACATTATACAGGTCATGCGGTCATGCTCTCTTTTTAGCTCGCCATTCATAAATTAGCTTCCTCGTTTGGCTCCTCAAAAATTAAGACCTGAACGCAATCCCGAGGGATTTTGTTGTGATTGGCTACATAGCTTTGCATTCTGCACATTCCCAGATTCGTTGAACCGGATCAACATTTTAACATTTTCATCATGTTCTTAGGTGCCGCTAGAAGCAGCTCCTGCACAGCTTGAGTTGCAAGCTTTTCTGCAGCACGTGGAGCAAAGGGTTTGGACCTGATTTACCATGGAGAGTCGAATGTGCATTGTTAACAGATGTTAACAGCAAAGAATGCGTGGAGTTCAAAATTGTGGGAATAAGGCTGAGACGTGCTCAGCTCAGATCGTAATGGAGGGTCGGGCAGAATTATTGACACTGCAGCCTATGTCACTTGAAGAGAAAAGTATTGCTCAATTGGTTCCTGATAATTTTCAAGCCTCTACTCACTCGCTCCAGACTTCACTTCCGATTCCAAAGTTGCCCCGCAGCTTGAAAAGCCCAAAAACAAATCACCGAAAAAATCAAAGGGATCATCAAAATCATCAAAGGGTACTTCCCTTGGCACAAAAAGATGGCCTGGAGTGACCCACTCAAGGAGAGCAGGCAATGCTCCATCTGTGGACTGGGGATCGCAAAATCACAAGATGCCTGCTGCAGCTGCGAGCTCACGATCTTCACGCAAACTGAGGTCCCACAATTCATTGCTGCGCGTCACGCGGCCCGCTTTCGCGCGTGCAAAGCGTCAGTGGGCAACGACCTTGGCCATAGCCGTCCATAGTTTCAAAATGTTTCAAACCTTACAAACAAAATATGCATGTGCACGGAGTCTAGCATTGTCTCATTGTGTCCCACTTTGCAAGGACAGGGTCCTGCTTTGTGAGCTTTGTGTCGAGGTTTTGGCACATGCCCGAAAAGTTCTGAAAGAAGCAAATGCTCGCCTGGCAGCAGGGGAGGCCTTCGTGCTCCATGCAATCTGTTTGAGAGCCTCCTTTGCCATGCACCTTTGCCATGCACCACATGTGCGTGCGATTCCAACCAGGATGCAGACGAAATTGATTTGCCAGAGGGTTTTGCCATCGGCGTTTGCTTCTCAGTGGGAAAGATGGCACCTTCGCAGATAGCAACATGCAACATGCAAAAACCATCACCGCAAGGTAAGGAAACCACCACAAGTCTTTTTGGCGCCAGAGCCTCGGTGTCATTTCGAAGTCAACCAACCAAGAGATCCAAGAGTCGCAAAGGCTGTCACTTGGTCGCTTGGTAGCATAGAGTCGTAGAGTTGGATTTGCACTGCCAGGCCCGCGGATTTACCCATCTCGCAAGCCGAGTCCGTTCCTCAGGGTGCTGAAGCTCACTATCAAAAGAACTGTATGATACTGTATGTATATATATATATAGTTTCACTCATAGCAGCCTGGGGAACACACATGTATATATATTATATTATATTTGGTGTGTATATTATATATATATAGGTATTCCACACACACATACACCACATACATACACAGAATGTCTCTTCGATCGTATTTACGTGTCTGCACTCTCCGTATTTTCAAGCACTTGCATGATATAGGGTTTTTGTTTTGCTTGGCTTCAGGAGAGTTTGTGTGGAGATTGTGGATGAGATTTTAGCACGAGCGGTTTTTCTCTTAGTCTTTGCACACAATGTGCCGCATCTTATTTTGTTTCATGTTGTCTCTGCTTCTTGTCTGCTCCCAGCCATGTTGCAGAATCAGGACTGCTGAGGAAATCTTGATTTAAGATGGATTCAGTTTAAAACTCCCGGCCTTGATTGGCCGTCGGCAGGCCTCATGCAATCTTTACATTTCCATGGTTTTCAACGCATGTTCTACTCAGTTCTACTCTGCACAGTTTGTTGGCCTTGAGCTTCTGATGCTTTTGGTCTCCGCTCGAAAGCTGAGGTGGGCATTCACTTCCTGGAAGATGCAAGTTCTGGAGGAAATGTGACACGTCCATGTCAACCTGTCACAAGAAACCAAAACAGTGTTTGCCTGTGAAGCTTTGTGTCATTTTAGAATCTCTGTGTTTTTGCTAAGCACACAGGACCACGACCGATGGCATTCGTCGAGGGCCATGAGGATGAGCTTGAATCCGTTGAGTCACATTGAGATTAGAAGGGAAAGTCCAGCACTGCAATCTAATCTATGTCTGTTGGATTTGAATGATTTCGCAATCTATTTCTCTTGACAAAGACTGTTGGAATGATCAAACGGTCAATTCTTGGGCAGGACCTTGCCGCTCTTGAACCTAGAGAAGATGTGAGTCCAGAGGCAAACGGAGTCAACGGGGGTCAGCAGGAGTAGCTAAGAGGCTAAGAGGACGATTTCAAAAATGCCCTTTGTGGCTATCTGTGGCTTGTTGTCAGAATTTTTCTGCCAGCAGTCGCAAAGGCCAATTTTTCGGAGCACCACAGTGCAGTTGAACACAATCCGCAATTGCCATCGAATGCGCAGAGGGTACTGTTAGCCGTTTCGCTGCGAGGGACATCGTGTTCATAAAAGGGTGCCAGACGCCAAGATTGTGGGCACCGAACGGGAGGACAAGCAGTAGATACGCCTGAGATCGCCTGACATTTGCAACAAAAATTGCAAAAATTCTATCTGCGTTGACTCGGAAGGATCAATCGCAAAAAGGGCGAAGTGCTCCCAGCCAAGGACGGTAATTGGGTCTGAGAACTTGGGAAGGGGCAGCCGAATTCAGTGCTGGCCTTTGCTTTTTAGGACGTGAACATCGCCGAGATCGTAGCGGCGAGAATCGGGAGGCTGCACCAGCGCAAGCGCCAGCACAAACACCAGCACCAGCACCAGCACCTGCTGCCCAAGCTGTGGCGCCTGCACCTGCAGCGCGGCAGCCGCAAAGCAGTCGTGGCCCTGGAGATGTAGTGATGCTTTGGCTTTTGAGACTTAACTAGCCTCAGAAAGTGTCGGTTCTTCATGGAAGCAGCTGACCTCAGCGTGACTCGATCAAAAGCCAAGTTCCAGGCAAGAAGCCTGGCACATGCATCCTTTCAGAACCAGTCATGAAGGATGTATTCTAGATCCAATGGGTGAAAGATGTATTGTCAGTCCTGCCAAGATACTTGATCCAAGGTGCCTTGCCACAGAAACAAGCGGGTCAATCAGTTGTGGTCCCAGAAAGCAGTTCCACTATGGACGCATTGATGTTGCGACTGAAGATTTGGTGGCTGCTGCTGTTTCTCATCGAACCTCGATCCGAGTTGCAACAAGTGCCAACAATCTGTCCATGTACAGTATGTAGTAGAGTTAAAAAATGTTGGAAAACAACTACGCTGTTGCTGCTGTGGGCTGTGGTGTGGTGTCTCCAACCTGCACCATGGACAGCAATCATGAGGCAGCCAACAAGCAGGGTCACCCACCACGTGGACGGCCAGAGGAGGACTGCTCAAGCGCATGCAAGACCGGATTTCTAGACTTCGGCAAAGGTTTGACAGCATCGCTTCTGCTGTGCTGACTTGGAAGATCTTGGAAGGATCAATCGCAAAAAGGGCGCCGTGCTCCCAGCCAAGGACGGTAATTGGGTCTGAGAACTTGGGAAGGGGCAGCCGAATTCAGTGCTGGCCTTTGCTTTTTAGGACGTGAACATCGCCGAGATCGTAGCGGCGAGAATCGGGAGGCTGCACCAGCGCAAGCGCCAGCACAAACACCAGCACCAGCACCAGCACCTGCTGCCCAAGCTGTGGCGCCTGCACCTGCAGCGCGGCAGCCGCAAAGCAGTGCCGTTCTTATTTTCTTTTTGTCAAAGTATTTTGCAGCGTAAAACAATTCATGCCACAGTTTTTTCGAGGCGTGCCATCGTCCACACGGCCCAAAGCCAAAGTCTCCTGGCTAGTCTATGCAGATGATTCCAGAAGGGGACCTCCTCGCAAAAGTGTACCGAAAATTGAAGTCCATTCTTGCTTGTATATCTTGTATGGTCTTTTGTGTTTATCATGCTGACTTCCCATCAGGCTTGCCCAGTCCAGTAGGAAGTTCAAAATGACGTTGGAGCGAGACATTTCTACCCTCGGGATCCCTCGGGTGTGACTGGCAGTTTACTAAGGCCTCGCAGAGTAACGAGCGTCGTGCGCGGGAGGAGGCTGCCTTGAAATTGCCATTGAACTGCACTAAGTGAAATTTTGTCACTTCGCTTCTGTCACTTCTTTTAAGCAGATGTCAGTAGTGCAAGATTCAAATCATTGAAGACCTCAGCAAATTTACTGCACAATGACTGTATACAGTGAAGCTCAAAGAAAACATAATGACATAATATTTCTGCAGTCTTGGCTTGCACGGGTTGATCCTTGGCTAGGAAGCGGCTAAGCCACACCGCTGGGCCTTCAGATCTAAATTCGTTCTCGGAGAACTGGCTCATGTCACATGTGCTACGAACCGTTATGATTCTATGACTTTTGTCTTTGTTTATTTTCTTTATTTTGGTGTCTTCTTTGCTACTCCTTTAGCCTTGAGCTCCGGATGTTCTTGATGATGTTTTCACTGACCTTGAAACATCCAGTAGAATTCACTCAACTCGGTCAAGCACTGGCTGCTGCTGTTGCACGAAAATCGCTCCAACACCTGCTTTGCCGTGCCTTCAACATCCAATGAGCAATCTTCCTTGCCTGGAAGTGTCACAATGCAGAGCTACCACCTGCATCTGTTTTGCACATGGTTTAGTTTTTCATTTCATGGGCATTTCAGATCAAAGTGTTTGATTGCCTGCCGATCCTTCCAAAGTTGATCGTGACATATCGTGACAGCTGTTTCAGAGCCAAACAAGAGTAAAGCTCTTGGAACACATTCGCACTTTCAATGTCCAAGTCTGACTTCGCACTGTCGTAACATGTCGCAACACAGCATGCTTGGTGCGCTTGGTTCTAGCGTTGCGTTTCCGATCGTTTCCGTACGTGCTGATCACTTTAGTTGCTTTCATGTGCACCACAAATGGTCTGCAAAATGGAGCAGACCAACAGACAAGTCATCGCCCAAAGGTAAATCTTGACTCCTCTGCAGGCCCTTCCTAACCCTGCTGGCCTGCACACTCTGCTAGTTTGCAGCATGTCTTGCCGCTGTCTTGCCTGTTATATAATTATTACTATTGACCACCAGAGCTTTTTCTGTTGTCTAAGGTCGCGAACATCGCGAACCTTCTGTGCCTGCACGTTCTGGAGGTTGCTCTCATTGTCAGTTGAGAAACCAGTTTTTTGAGAAACTTTGTCAAGTCTGACGGTCACTGACGAGTTCGGGTTGTGCAAAGACGCTGTGTTGTTTCTGCAGGTCGTGCCCACACGACACATTCAAACCAGCCCCGCAAACCGCCGGCTGCTGCCCGCAAACTCAGCTTGCAATATGCAGAGCGTTGAACCTTGAGGTTGGCATACGAACTTGGCATACTTGGCATTACTTGGAAACATGCAGTGTATACAGTTTATATACTCAGTACTCATGCAGGGCTGATGCTCAGGAGCCTACTGTGCCGCTGGCACAACTTTCTCCTGCAGCAGCAGAGGCTGTGAAGTCTTTGGCCCAGAACAAAGGCTTCACCGTTTACAAAGTGACCAGATATGACCAGTATCACATCGAATGAATTCGTATGACTCATTTCCACGTTTCTGATGATTTGTCGCCTGTTTGATTTTTGCATGAACTTGATTGCTTATAACTTATATAATTATATAAATTATATATTAATATATATACTTACATTCTCTTATATTACTTTCAAACAAAGGCGGCAAAGGCGCCTTCAGCAGCATCACACTTCTGCTGAAGAAGGTTCGGGAAGACGGACTGCGACTACTGCGACTATACATTGAATCATTGAAGCTTTGGTAATATCTGGTATACCGCATAATACTTCACTGTTTCGTATGTGAGTTCTGCACGTTGCATATTCTTGCAAACAATGTGCATCCAGTGCATCCAGTGCATCCAGTGCAATAGCAAGGCAAGGCACTATGAAATCCACCTTGTAGGCAAAGCTCGTCAAGAAGCTTTGCAGACGGCCCTTGGTTGAGTCCTAAGCACCATCAAAACCATGGGTGCTGAAGAGCTTCGAAGCTAAGCAAACTGATTAGAATGTTTAGATGGTAGTGGTGAGATTCGGCTAGGTTCACATGGCCTTCATTTAGAAGAAAAGAAGTCGCAGTTTGAGATGTGTAATCAACACAGCTTCTTCAAACAGCCACGCAAGTTTTTTGGGACACGAGTGACAGGGTACAACATAAACGCATTCTTGCAAGACAGGGGATGGATCAGATGGAAGAATGAAAAAGAACGTAAATGCTATCGCGCAATGCGAGTTTCAAGTTTGATTCAATTCGGAGATTTTGGGACTTGAGGTTCAGATCCGGTGCAAAACCTGGTGAAGGTGCTGCTATTTGCATCTATTTGCTTCAAAGCAGACTGCTTGTTAGATTGAAAGTGCTACCTGGATCAAAGGCAACGAAACGAGGAACACCTGATGCACTGAGACACCAAAAAATATTGTGGTACCAAGTTCCCACCATGTAGATTCTGTGTAGTAGTGCTTGCATGATATGTTTGTCACAGTCAATCGTGACAGGCTTGGGAACCAAACTTCCGGCGGAGCTTCGAATTTTTCCAGCGATGGAAACCATCAGCAAGCCATGATCTTTGAAATTTGTTCCTGTTGTCATTTTCTGCTGAAGTTGTGCTGCGCTTTGTATTGACAAAGGCATCTTGCGACAGACGAATTCAGTTGCAACTGAGGTGGCGAGATGACTTTGGCAGGGTTTATTCTACTCGGTGAGTGCAACCTGACAGAATTTGGCATCCTTGTTCGATGAATATTGCACAGCTTTGAACATTTCAGGCAAAGGAAGTTTCTGAAACTTCTGTCTCATCGAAAACATCGAAATGCAAACGCGGCAAATGCACCAATTCCATCCAGATCTATCCAGGTCCATATTCTTGATCCTGTCATCGCTTCTTTTATAAGTTTGATTCATTTTCTCATATTTTCTCATATTTTCTCATATTTTGTCCCTTGACTGGTCCCTGAGGCTTTGGTCTTTTAGAGAAGGATGACTTGAAGGTACGAAATGCAGAAGTTTCATGAGAGAAAGATAACGAAGTCAAAAGGTTAACGAATGCGCATGTGCATCTCAGTGCTTCAGAAATTTGATCTTCCAAATCTGCCAATGACTGTGGAAGATGGTCTTGCACCGATCTCCTCCGGATATGAAAGGTGGCTTTCAAACGCGGAGCTGGCAACGAATTGTCTTTGCAGAACTTGCCAAATGCGTGGCCCTCAAGCAAGGTGTACGAACTGTGTACGAACTGCAGACAGAAGATCATGGACTGAGCATGACTGAGCGATCTTATCTCCCAGTCGTAAAGGGCAGTGACAGCAGTGCATTGACACGACTAGGTCTTGATGCATTGTGTTGCTCGCTCAGTGGAGGTCTTTCGCTTAGCACAGCAGGATGTACAGTTATTGTGTGGACATTGGATTGCCTGTGAGGCCTGTGAGGTGGTTCTTGATGTATGTTTATGTTTGTAATTGATTGTATACATATATAAAAACATATACTGTAAAATATATTTGATTGTATAGTAATTTAATATGTATACTATATAACATAATATAATTTGTATAATATATATATATGTATATATATATATATGGTACCCCCCAAAACCGACGTTTTTGAGGTCGCAACGCTTTTGGGACAAATTACCATGTTCAGTTTGAGTTCCAGTGGGGGGTACCATATATATATATATATATATACACATACGTGTGTATGAATTGTTGTCGTACTGTTGAACCCAGGTACTTATAGTAATTTTGTCACCAAAAGCGTTTGCAAACGTTTGCAAACGAGTCCAGGGGTCCAAGTACTTAGACTGGCTCAGGATTCAAGATTCAAGATTCAAAAAAAACTTCTTGAATCCAGAAACTCTCCTGATCCTAGCCCCGGGATTCAAGAAGTTTTTTTGGATCTTGAATCTTGAATCTTGAATCCTAAGCCAGTCTAAGTACTTGGGCCCCTGGACTCGTTTGCAAACGTTTGCAAACGCTTTTGGTGACAAAATTGCTCTAAGTACCTGGCAGTAAGACAACAATTAATACACACATATGTATATATATATATATGGTACATGAGTTAAATAATGACTTTGAAGTGGAATTTCATCAGGTAATGGCATTTTTTGAAACAGTTTATCTGCAAATACAATATTGCGATTCAAAGCACATTGACAAATCATCATTTGCAGATTTCGATTTTCTTGTCCATTGTTATATATATATATTTATCTTTAGTGATATTTCAAAATAGTTGAGTTACTAAAACGTCTGCAAGGTTATATTTTTTTCTTAAAAACATATTAGGTAAGATATACATTCAATTTCATCTTGTAATGTTTGGTTTAAGCCATTTATTTATAATTTTGCATCATTAATATCAATTGTTTTTTGTAAAGATATTTTTGAATTCTTGGGTAATTCACTTGCTATCATTCCATAAAAAGTTGCAGAGTATTTTGAAGCTTTTTGTAATATTTTTTTGACAGTGCATGATATTTTAGATTTTGCATATTTTGCATGCAAACATACATGAAATAGCAATTTCTACTTATTTGATTTGGTGATGTAGCAATAGCATCGATACAAGAAAAATGTTTTAGTGCAATATCATATATATTCTTTTAATTTTACAAGTGCTATAAATCCTGCCAAGTGATGTATTTTTATATATTAGCCAATATCTCTTATATTTTTTGCTAGCTTGATTAAGTAATTTATAGGCAAGATTGTATTTTTAATAATAATAGTTCCCTTGCATAGCATATTCTTAAGTTAGTATTTTTTTCTATATATATATATATATTGTTTCTTTAAAAGAGGGGTTTAATATAGGAGCTAAATTTTGTTCTATTATATATGGGTTTAGGCGTAGGTCTTTTCGGGAAAATAAATAATTAAAAAAATAATCCTTGATTATATTGATGATCATTTATAATGTTATGATACATTTTTGTGTTTTGAATATTCTTTTGCTTTATTAAAATGCGATATTGCATCATCTTTTTATCCATATCTTTTAAAAAACTGAAAAGTAAGACATATTATTTAATTGGGTTTGTAGTAACAGATTGTCGATTTTAATTAAGTGATCTTCATAAGATATATATATATGTAGAAAATTGATCAAAGAGTGCCTTTTCTTCTTGTATATTAAATTGAGTATTTTCTTGCCATATTTTTTTGTTAAGTTGACATACTTTACTTTCTATTGAGTGAGTAGATATTTTTAGTGTTTGACAAGCATTAAGGTAAGATTTTTTGCATAAGATATATAGTTTTTGGAGGATATTTTTCACACCAATTAATGACTTCATAAGGTGTTAATTGATGTAAATATTGCTCTGCGTTTTGAATTAATAGATATTTTTTTGCCAATATGGGCTATAATACATAAATTCTTTTACTTGTTGTACGTATTTTAAGTGATTGTTTCTATTTAGGAAAAAGTCTGATTTTATTGCTGTATAAAAACATTTATTTGCAATTTTCTTGCTAGTGTTCAAAGCAGTTTGCCAATCATTTTTAATCCAACTATTCATAGCAAGAGCTTTAAACTTTATTATTTTTTTGATTTGTTTGTAGATTGTAAAAATTGTGTGTATGTAATAAAAAAGTAAGCAAACAGAAAAAAGACATACTAAAATAGCATGTTTTAGATATTTTGGCACAATTTGAATCACAAGTTTTTTTTTTTCCATCTGTTTCTAGTTCTTCTTTAGAGAATATGGATATATTTATTAGTGGCTCAAAAGATGGAATAACTATGGTGGAAGGATGTGGAATGGAATTTCCTGAAGATAGATTATTAAATATCTTAGATGAGGCTTTAAAACTTTTTACTCCAGTTGTAAACTTGATATTAGATATGAAATCTAAAATATCAAAAAAGGAGTTTATTTCTAATATTCCTCTAGATTCTCATCTTTGCTCGACACAATTGTCAGAAGAAATCGAAAATCACCCGAGTATACTTAATCTAAAAAGCAAACTATTTACTCAATCTTCAAAACAAGAAAGAGAAAAACGTCGTTTTTTTTTTGGGGGCTAGCATATATATATATATATTGTCTATTATGTCTATCTCCTAGGTCATAAGGTCCCAGAGAAACATGTGTATGGAGGAGGTTCGATTTTCACTTGGAGAGGTCGAAAGCCTCATGCTTGGGATTCCAGAGGAAGGTGCCTGGCGAAGATATGTTGAAGTTTCAGTGCTGACAAGAAACTGCGCTGCCCGAAACCTTCCTATAAAACGCAACCATGAGAATCATCACGACTCACATTTTTTGGCGCTTGTCGCCGCTTTTGGTAGAGACAATTTGATTTCAGGGAAGGGAAGTTTCCGCCGTTTTTCTTGTCGTGTTGGAGTCAGACAGCCATATACGTCGTATGGCCGTACGGCATCAAGGCCCTGTCACAGATCAGGAGGTTCTCCAGTCAGCCTTCACAGACTTGTGCAGGATCCTCAAATAATCTCAAATGCTATCGCTCCTATGCTGAAGGTAACTTTATGGATACTTGTGCTAATCTGTTAATTTGCGGTTAGGATGTTTCACTGCTTGAGATTGCAATGTGCTTCATAGCACTATCCAGAGGCCTGCTTGGCAGCTGACTGAACTCTTGCTTTAGCATTCAAGAATCTGCTTCAAGCACGAATTCGTCGTTAAGGTCGGCACATGATGTTGAACAATGGCAGATCGTTGGGAAAGTGTGCATATCTCAGTGATCTTTTGTTGCTTTGCTTGTTTTATAGTGACCTGGCAGCCCTTAGCTTCACACAATTTGAAGGTCTTGATGGATATCGGCGTGCAGGACATGTTCTCCAGCAGAAACAGCCTTAGAGAATTACCTGTGACTCACAGTGACTGGCATCTTTTCATATCTGTTCATGTTCACGCATTCTGCACTCCTTTTGGACAGGTTCGCTGCTGAGCTGCCAGAAAAGTACCTCGCTCAAAGAGTCGGACACCCAGAGACAGTCAGGCGAAAAGCCTCGATGCCTTCTTTGTACAGATTTTTTGTAGTACTTTGACAAAGTTTGTTTGGTGTTAAAACTTGGCAGCAGGAGGAGTCTCAGATTGCTGTAGCATGCCAGTCAACCAGTCTTTCCAATTCCGGGATTCTCCTGAAATCAAAGTTCCAAGAAGTGTCGCACAACGGATGACATCAAATGTTCCATATGTGCCACTATCCATTTGCAATATTATTTGCTCCTTGGAATACCTGATCTTAAATATCAACTATCTTGTTTCTTTTGCCTGCTCTGCCTGCTGGCCTTTTATCTCGACTGGAAATGAAGAGCCAGCACTAGACAAAAGTATTGCATGCACAACACAAGCGTCACAAGCGTCTATATTGTCCTACAGATGTGCCCTGCAGGGGTACCCTGTCGGTGCTTTGGTAACCTGTTCCAAAAGGACGATGGCTGGAAGAGTAACAAGCACTGCCCAAAACAAACTCCAAAACGCACTCTTTGATATCTTTGATGAGAAAGCATTCAACTATATTCAACTGTCATTTCATGCCAACAAGCTTTTGTCAGTCCGTACTCGGAAGTTTCTTCAGACACGCAGCAGAATCCCTTCCTTTGCACTGCTGCCTTTTGCTCCTAGTAAAGTCTCAAGTCTCAACTTGCTTTTACAATCACTTCCTGTGTTCTCAGAGCCTGCTCATCAGAAAACCAAGAAAATCAACTCTTGCAGTGTTCAACATATTCACATATGGGGACAAAAACAGAGCTAATGTTGACACCTCCCGCTGCTTTGACAATGCAGACTATGCAGAGTCTGCCTCTTGCTTTTTGCATCTTGTTGCCAATCTTGGCATAGGGGCCCAAAGGAAAGCGTCGCAGTAGCTCTTCCTGAATTCGCCTGGCTTATGTTTCTATGCCTCGTTGCTAGTCTGATACAACGCAAGAAATGAAGAACGAGAGAGTGGACACATGTGCATAATTACATACGCATATGCCTCCATATCAACCTGTGTGTAAACTGTAAACACGCACATATATGTATATATGTTATCAATACATATATATATATATCAGGTGTATTATATATGTACGCACACCTATGTCTATTTTTTTTTCCTCTCTCTCTCTCTCTATCTGTACATATATATATATATTATACGTGGCTCTCTCTCTCTCTCTGTGTCTACCTCTCTCCATCTCATACAAATATACATATATCATATCACTGTATTTTAGTGTATATGTATGTGTATATATATATATACATACATACGGTTTCGTTTGTATTTTTGTATCTACATATTCTCACCTCTCTCCCTTCCCTTCTCCATCGATATATAATCTATCGCTTCCGATACAGAATTACTTCATTGACACATTTCTCTGACATAAGGCTGACGTGCCAGATCCCACGACGGTTGACGAAGCTAAGGCGATTTGCATATCTTGCAAGAAAACCAATTGGGAATTGCAATTCTTTCATGTTTTTTTCAAACTCACACTGGTACGAGGCTGGCGAACCAGCTGCAGCACCTGCCACGGATGCCGAAGGAGCAAAAACAGACAAGCCACTAGAGGGACAGCAAGACCCTTCGAGCAAAGAAGAACCAACGAAGCCTCCAGTGGAGCCATCTGAGCCTTCAAAGCCTGCTGAGGCAGGTGCAGAGGCATCTGCTGACGCACCTGCACCAGCAGCGGCCGAACCATCTGCTGAGACACCCGCTGCCGATGCACCCGCAGCCGATGCTCCGGCCGCTGACTCACCGGCGGCGGACGCACCATCAGTCGACGCGCCAGGGCCACCTGCAACGGATGCTGCAGCGGATGCACCAGCAGACGATGCACCAGCAGAGGCACCAGCTGAATCGCCTACGGAGGCCGCGGCCGCAGGGGCAGGTACTGAGGCAGCTGCAGAAGCAGCACCGGAATCCTCAGGTGCACCGGCAGAAACACCAGGAGAGGCACCAGCAGCACCAGCGGAGGCAACTGCAGAATGAGGCGCAATCAGCGAGCGTACCTGCAGCGGCTGCAGCTGAGCTCCAGGCTTTTCTATTGCTTCCCGTTTGCGTTGTTTGTCTGAAAGGTTTGCAACATCAATATTATTTGCATTTGTTTTGTGAAGGGTCTCAGGAGTCTCTTGATATGATACTTCAGACTGTGTCTCGCTACATCCAAGTGTCTTCAGTAGTGGGCCCACACACACATTTTGGTGCTCTGACACGGTCTTTGTAGATTTGTAGATCTTCTAAGTTTCCTCCTTTCGTCAGCCTCACTTCGTTTTGAAATATGCAGGTGAAGCTACCCTGACCTGAAGTTAAGACTTGTTCGGAAGTCCTCAGATGTGCTGCACAAGAACAAAACAGAATGAGTGTGAGACATCATCGCAACAGAAGGATTCTTGTCAGGAAATGCTAGAGGGACTTCTGAACAGGAGACTTTTTGCCGGCCCTGCACAGAAATAGGTGCTGGCCAATCTGCACGGAATATTCTCCGCCAAAGCTTCTAAGAAGCGTTGAAAAAGCGCAGCAACAAAGTCATCTGCAAAGCAAGGCAAACCTTCGAACCTCAGTTGCCGGAAATCTCGTGTGTTGCTTTATGCATGGAATTGCTCGATTTGAAAGAAAGCATTGGCATTTGGATCGGCAGCGAGACAACCTGGAATCTGTTGGTCATGAGACGACTTGCTTCCCAAGAGCTGCAGAGCAAATCTAGATATACTGTAGATATTAAAGCAGGTGTGTTTTCCCATGGGCCCATGGATCTTCTTTGAAGATTTGCTGTATGCCTGTACTATCTAGACTTCTGCCCAGTTGCTTTGACTTTAATACGTTTCGTACCATGCGAATGTAGCATTCATAACACCAAGACAACAAGATGTAGCTTGCAGCCATGCCTCTTCCTTGAGCGGCAAGAGGTGGCATTTGAGCCTTTCGAGTTGGTAGAACTACAAGAATTACATGGAATTACAGAGTTTTCTTTTTTTCCGTGCTCAGTGACTCAGTGACTCAGCAGTGACTTAGTGTTATCCGCAGAGGTGGTCAATTATGGCCCTTCACAATGCTCTCGTAGAATAAGGCGGGCGCTCTAGCCCTCTGGGAGTGAGCGGTTCAGCAAGCATGGACATTTGATAACATTTGCTATATTTGCTTCCATACGAAGATGACCACAATGAGATCTTACTGTTCAGAACACCTTCGAGATCTCTACTCTTAAAGCTGGAATACGACGACACACAAGTATGCCTTGCCTCTATTTGATCAGATCTTGAGAATCTTGGCTGCTGAGGCTTTGAGTTGCTGCAAACTGTTGCGAGTCACTCACGGGTGACTTGTAGTACTTTAGTTTCGGCCCATACTGGAGCCCCTGATTCTGGACACCGCAATACCACTTTGCAAACTTTAATGTGTTTTGCTATGTTTTGCTTCTAAAGGCTTACGATCCGTGTGAAGCCTTTGCCAGAAGGGTTCAAAAAGCTTCGCTGTGGAGGCATCGGCATCATGCACCCTCCAAACGAGTTGTTCAAACCTAAGACGGCGATGGGGTTAGCATGGTTAGCCACACTTAGAACGAAAGCGGGTCCAGCGGGTCCAGCGGATCCCAAACAGTGTCATGTTGTAAACTTCCCGGTATTTGGACACATGCACATGGTTGTTCATCTACTTGGTAGAGAAGCACAAGGCACAGTGAGGATCTGGATTTGGAGAGAGAATGGGACGAATGCATGGAGGCGTGGCTGGCGCGGCTTTCCTTCAGTTTTGTTTTCGGTGTTCATTTTGGTCTTCATTTTGCAGACGAAGTGATGCCCAGGGCATGTTGAATCAGCGGAATGCAGTCCTATCCTTACAGCGACATTTGACGGGTTTCATCGCCGATTCGCCTGCAACTTGGACACTTTCACGCCTTAGCCGCTAAGGAACACTCTGTGGTCGTTGTGACAATGAATTTGCGACGCTATGCATCTGTCCCCAGGGACTGGCAGGTGCGAGTATGGCATTGCGTGGCATTGCATGACATTATGACATTGCATGAAATTGCAATGATTGCAACCGTTTGGTATGAGCTTGGTCCGGTTCAACTTAGAGAGACCCGTGATGACCCACAACTTTTGATCGATTTGTTGTCACAGGCAGTGCACCGAGAACTGTCCAGGACCATATTGGTGAAGTCTTTTTTCTTGGAGCTGCTCAAGTTGCCTCCAACTTGCCATAACTTACCTCTGTGACATTTTGTGACAGTCTGTTTGCTTTGCAGTTCGAAAACCCACCCAGGATTTTGGTGGATGTGCCAGACGTTATTTGCCTCCAAGAGGGATTGGAAGGCATGGATATTCTATCGCAGGCCAGGCGCAGTGAGCATCTTATCATCAAGATTCTGATGACAACAACTACAATGAAAGATTCCTGCGATTATGCTTCTGTATTTTCATAGCGAAGAGCAAGAGCTATCATTGCCACCAGGTTGGCTACAAACGGATTGCATCTTCAGTTCTCCGGGCCCAAGCGCTGCGAGATGCGGTTGGGAGCACGGTCAAAAAAGTTTGGCTCTGAAACCTTGACGCAAAGGGGTGATCAGAGCACCAGTGACAGCACCCGAGTTGGGCTTGCACTGCTTGCACTGCTTGCACTGCTTGCACTGTGTGCCCGCACTGCCGAGATAATTGATGCTCTGAACAGCCCCGTCTGCTGCTCTGAGGTCTATGGGTCGGCTGTTGAATTGAACACTTGCAGCAGCTCTTCCCACGGTAGGTTGTTGGTGCCAAGCTGAGAGAAGCAGCGGAGCTTGCAGGGAATCTTTCCATTAACAAAGGGCCCTGCTATGCCCTGCTAGATTCGCCTTCTGTGGATGGTCGGAAAGCAGGAGAGGCGGTCCGAGTTGGTCTGAGTTGGTCCGAGGTTAATGAGCTGTACATCAAGTCCGTTGGATCCAAGTGGGAGGCCTTTGGCTTAGAGCATCTGAAACAACTTGGATCAACAGCTCTTCAAGTCGGTTTTTACAGGGCATTGAACTTTAGAAATCTTTAGAGTAGAGCGTGACCATAGGCGATAGACAGCGGTGCTGCCCAGATATCCTCGGACTTGATACTTGAAATGGAAGGAGCGGCAGAAAGAGCGGTGTGAATCGGTGTGATATGTTGTGATTCTCAGATGCCACTCATGCATATTTTCGCCAGGACATGAGGAACGAGAGGCAAGGTTCGAGATTGCGGAAGTCTTTCTGACTGATCCAGAAAATATCATAAGATATCTAGCTAGATGCAAAGATCAACGATTGGTTGGGCGGAAGAAAACTACAGTCCCAAGACTAAAGCGATTTTGGTCTCATAGCCGTGCAAAACCGTGCGAAGCCTCTCTGTGCTTGGGACTCAACATGGATTTGTGCAGCTTGGTGAGTGATATTGACGGCGATGTGAAAGGGCTGTGGCGCTTGGCCTCTTGCTAGTCGATGCGTGGCTGGGTCCTGAGATCTAGCCGCACTCCGCCGCACTCTTGCACTTTTGACTCAGTTGACTCAGGTTCAAGCTGTGGATTTCATTCTGCTTGATCTTCTGGCAAGTTGTTTTGCTGATAGCAATAGGTAGCATGCTTTGGTATATTTGGTATGGATACTGGGCCATGTTGTTTCTGATTGCGGCCTTTGTGCTGCTCTGTGCTGCGGCGCCCTTGCTCGTTCTGTTGGGGGATATACAGTATATGCAGAGCTACAACATTGCTATTTGGCTGCCGCCATGCGACAGCGTGACTGCGGCTTCGTTATGTTGAGTCATCTCCTTTCAAATTAAGATACTCGTTTCATCTCTTCTCTAAAGTGTAGAAGTAGGAATTGATAGGAATATAGGAATTGATTATAGGGTAGCCCTCTGAGAGTTTTGAGCATTCCATGCGGCTCATGCACTTCCGGCAAATACTTTCCAACATTCTGTTCGCATCTCTAGTTAACGTGTGTATTCGATGCATATTTTTCCTTGCGGTGCAAGTTCTGCAAGTTCACCAGCAAAGGCGATTCTGAATCTAATTCTTTGATTTCTTCGCCTGAGCTTGCTGCAGAGGTTTGGACCAAACTCCGACATTGTCAGAAACCTGTTTGGTACTAAGTCATACTAAGTCTATTTACCGGAGTCTTCCAAGTCTTGAGAAAGGGGCCTCAATAGTCTCATTCAGATCCATGTTGACATGTGTACGAGGCTGGGCCCTTTGTGTATGTGCCTTGGCATGAATTTGTTCCGGGGACACTCCCACGGTCTGGTGCCTTTTCTTGGTTGCCAATTGTTTTTCCAACGCTCGAAGCTGTTCCAATGCGTGGCCAATGCTTGGCCTGGCTGCTTACTGCTTAGATCTGCTTGGCAGTCTTTTATTTGGCCAGGTGCTCAATACGCAGCTCTCTGGTGGTCGCGTAGAAGTGGTGAGCCAAGTTGATGTGCTACAGTGGAGGCAAGTAGCGTAGGTCCTCGCCAAGTCCATCACTCTCCATTGAGGATCCTCATTTCTTGGTGCTGGCAGAGGCAGTCCGATTTTGTGGACTTGCTTTCTCATTTGTGAAGTAAGCGACAGACTAAATGACTAAATGATAATAACATATTGAATGCAGTATTCAATATTATGATCAAAGGAAGTTTAGGGGGAGAAACTTCCGTGTTACGGACTTTTAGGATGTCAGGGAAAGAGTTAGTCAAAGAAAGAGTTAGCAAAGAAAGAGTTCGTCAGGGAAAGAGTTAGTCAAAGAAACAGTTAGCAAAGAAAGAGTTCATCAGGGAAAGAGTTAGTCAAAGAAAGAGTTAGTCAAAGAAACAGTTAGTCAGGGAAAGAGTTAGTCAAAGAAAGAGTTAGTGAGGGAAAGAGTTAGTCAAAGAAAGAGTTAGCAAAGAAACAGTTAGTCAGGGAAAGAGTTAGTCAAAGAAAGAGTTAGTGAGGGAAAGAGTTAGTCACAGAAAGAGTTAGCAAAGAAAGAGTTCGTCAGGGAAAGAGTTAGTCAAAGAAAGAGTTAGTCAAAGAAACAGTTAGTCAGGGAAAGAGTTAGTCAAAGAAAGAGTTAGTGAGGGAAAGAGTTAGTCAAAAAAAGAGTTAGCAAAGAAACAGTTAGTCAGGGAAAGAGTTAGTCAAAGAAAGAGTTAGTGAGGGAAAGAGTTAGTCAAAGAAAGAGTTAGTCAGGATATATGAGGTAGTCAAAGAAAGAGTTCGCAAAGAAAGAGTTAGTCAAAGAAAGAGCAAAGAAAGAGTTCGTTAGGGAACGAGTTAGTCAAAGAAATTGTTCCCGCAATGTAAATGGGATTGCAAGTGGTGCTGGTGGATGAGTTGCCGATGGAGTTTTGAAGGAAGTCTCGCACGAAATGCGTTTTTGAGAGATAGCAGATGCACGAAACCCTGTGTTTTTCCAGACAAAGTCCGTCCCCGAACGTCGATGATCTACCTCTCTGCGGTGCGACGGGTGCGAGACGGTCTCGTGTGTGGTCGGGTCATGCTCGGATCGGTCTCGGATCGGTTCCGCATTGTAAATGGGGTTTTAAGTGTTTTTCGTGCATGTGCGGTCGACAGAATTCCATTGTGATTTGCAACTGTAGGATCGTTCCCGCAATGTAAATGGGATTGCAAGTGGTGCTGGTGGATGAGTTGCCGATGGAGTTTTGAAGGAAGTCTCGCACGAAATGCGTTTTTGAGAGATAGCAGATGCACGAAACCCTATGTTTTTCCAGACAAAGTGCGTCCCCGAACGTCGATGATCTACCTTTGCAGTGCGACGGGTGCGAGACGGTCTCGTGTGTGGTCGGATCATGCTCGGACCATGGTCGGATCGGTTCCGCATTGTAAATGGGGTTTCAAGTGTTTTTCGTGCATGCGCGGTCGACAGAATTCCATTGTGATTTGCAACTGTAGGATCGTTCCCGCAATGTAAATGGGATTGCAAGTGGTGCTGGTGGATGAGTT